GTGCTGCTGTCTCTGGGCACTGGTGCTGGAGGGATGGACATGCTGTTCTGGTCTGACTGTGAAGGTAACTAAGAGAGGAGACCCAGAGGGTCTTTCAAGCAGAGATACTTGGGTTTGAAGACATAATTCCTCACGCTGGAATACAATAGTTCCTGGTGCTGCTACCCTGCCTGGGGRTGTAGCTACTTGATGCAGCTTTATGATGAATTACAGAAAGGAACTGATACCTTTTGGAGTTAACCATTTTTTAGCCAATCATACCTCACGAGTATATCTCATACCTTTTAGCCCTGAGTTACCTCATGTCTTTTCAGCATGCTCTTCCACTAAGAGTTATGTCAGTAGAGAAGAGGTGACGCTGCATAAGTAAMGATGGAGGATGGAGGGGACAGTGCTTTGAATGATCATGTTTAACCAGGTAAACCTGCAACCTCTGACTCCTGTGATACAAGGCTCAGCTCTGCCTTCCCTTGGATTTGTGAAATTGGTTGAATTTTGTAACTGTCAGATCGTTTCTGAGGTAGATTCAGTCTGAAAATTCAGATTTCTATACTGTCATTTAGGTGATTACTGAATGGTACCTATAGGCCTCCATTTTTGTATAGCCTTCCATTAATGCTGAACCCATCTCTTTGCCCAATCTTAGTTTCATCTGGACTATGTAACCTTATCTGTGTTGTAGGAACATTATGAGAGAGACCATGCCAAATATGACCATCAAGATGCAAGACATGTATTGTTTTGCCTTGGTCTGTCGTAAGAGGAAATGAAATTTGCTTGACTCCATTTATTCTTGACAAATCCATCTTGCCTGTTTAATCACCTGTTATCTTTTAGGCCCTAGGCCCTTAGAAATATTTTATCTGTRCTGTTTTCTCAGAAACAAAACAAAAACTGATAAGTGATTCTTCAGCCCTTTCTCTTCCCAATATTGTCTTGAAGATGGACAACTCTTTTCCTAGTCTTTTGCCACGTATCTATCTTGTGAATTTTTAATAATTGTTGATGTTTAATAATTGCTGGGCCTTCTCTGTGAGCTTCGTTAATGTGCCACGTCATTTAAAAAGATCTGACTTATCCAAGTATTCTCCAACAATGTTTTATCTTATTAAAAATGGAGTCCTTTCTCCCCATCCCTACTATTAATTATGATAAATCTCTGGTAACAGTTGATTCTTTTAGAAAAAAAATGCAAAAACAAACAAAAAAGCAAAAATTTAGGCTATTTAGGTTTTCCTCCTGTGCTTTCCAGTGTTTTCTTCCTGTTCAGTAGTAGTCCAACACTTACCTTAATTCTTCTCTAATTACTGCTGTATTTCTAGAAAAGTTTTCTTTTGATGTCCTATACTGGTTACTGTTTATGTCATAGCTTTCCTAAGCCAGTCTCTGCATTTGTGTTACACATTTACACATTTAGTAGCTCATCTCCTGCCAACCGCTTTTTTGATTGAAAGCAATGGCAGACTAATAATTTATGATGCTACATAAAATCTACTAAGAGACCACACTTCCKAGCTTTCCTTTAATAGGAGAGTACTTCATATATAGGACTTTATATTTATCCTTAAGCGATGGCCACATCTATAATCCTGTCTTTCTGCACTAGGTTTTGAGATTGTAATAACTCTGAATTTATTGAAATCCTTTTYCAAAAATCTGTCAAGTTCTATTTTATTCCCTGAACTTTCTTTTGCTGAAGACTGTAAATTCAATCCGGCCCATTTTACATTTTGTCTCACTCAATCTGCCTTCAGCAGAACATTTTCAGTGAGGAACTCCTCGCTGCCTCACATCAAATCTAGAAGGGGCTTCCTCTTCTTTAGATTTAGAATGAGGTTTTGGGGAAAAAAAAAAAACCATGATTGGGGTGCTCCATGTTCTCCTCAGCAGTCTATGGCTTGGGATTCCTTTCCCAATGGATGCTGGTTGATTAACCCTCCCCTCACTGCTACTAAAGCTTTGGATGATCTTCATGGCTTAAAAATCTGTGCATCCATGTTCTCGTTCTGGATTTTGCCACAGACCTATCTCAGGGAAGTGGACTTCCAAATTCATACGTGCCCTTGGTAATCTGGGAATAGATTGTCTGTCAGTTTTCCCTTGCTGAAGAAGATGTGCCTGCTAGTCCAGCTGTGAGTTACCCACAAAGTAACTTGTTTTACCGGGTAGCTTTTCTTATCACTACATATTAGGACTTCTGTTTTCTGCACATGCATTAATAATAAAGGTCTGTTGACAAGATATCTGTTCTTCTCATACTTTTGACATCATATTGAACAATGCTGTTCTTTTTGTTTTAGGATCTTGTTTTATGCCTTTTTCATACTTTTCCATAACTTGGCTTCACTTCCATTTTCTGCCACAATCAGACTTGAAAGTTCTTTCTCTTGCAATAACATGTCTGTATATAAAGAGTTGGTGTTGATCTGAGACAGCGGATGTGAATTCAGATTATTTGGGTACATTAGTTACTCTGCACTGGAAATTTTATTCTCATGTTAAAACCAAGTGAAAAGACTTAAGGTTACTCACACATGTTATCAAAGTATGGGATATACTGCAAATACTAGTTTTAAGGAAAAATATGCTGAGGTAAGGTAGAGAGTATTTCTAAGGGGAAAAATGATGGAAACATTGAAAGCATCTGATACTGATGATACTCTAAAATTTTAGTTTTAGAGTAAAATTTCCACGTGAATTCTACATTTATGAAACTTAAAAAGTGGACAGCCTGCCTAGGCACTCAGACACCTGTGACTGTTCTCTCATGGTAGTGAGGAGAAAATACATATGTGTAAACTAAGGTCTTAAAGAGTTAGTCAGTTTGTTTCTGATTATTGTAGCAAGATGACTTTTATAAATAATGCATATTTCTAGCACACAGATAAGCTTGCTTTAATTTCTTTCTTTCAACAGAAACTGTATCTTTCAGTGAAATGAGTCACATTTTTTTCATCCAGGGATTGAAAGTGCTCATCCGTACGTACATAGGTGTCCTGTAAAGAAGAAGAACTAAATCTAAGCTCTAAAGAAATACTGTATTTTAGCAATATTTCCAGAGTAATATACCAACTCAGTTATCACACAGTTGGAGCAAACAAATATTTTTTCCATAAATGTTTGCTCCTTGATCCGGGCTTGGTATGGAAAAGTTTACCGACAAAACAGAAGCTACAAAAGAGCAGAATTACCTCCAGGGAGAGCAGCCTTTCTGTGGGATTCATGGGCAGGCAGGATTGTTAAAATAGTTGAATCATTTGAGTCTCCTCTGTCCGTTCCACAGCACACATTGTCACAATGTCCCTTTATCTGTTTTAAATTCATGAGTCATCCTGAAAAGGTTATGAGAGACGGGGAACCTTTGCCACTCTCTAGTTACCAAGCAGAACCGAGATAGATAGCAAGGCCACTGGATAGCAGGGTCCTCTCTGCATTGAGCAGAGGAACTAATATCCAGCAGCAGATAAAATCATGTACTATGACACCAGCAGGAGAAAAATCTGCTCAGATGAGCTTGTTTTAGTCACTGGAGTATTCAGAAAGTGCTAAGCAGCCTTGCTTACATAAACTGTGCAACTGTAGGAACTCTGTGTAGGTATCTTGGGCATAGAAGGCAGGAATATCTATGTCCAAGGAATCTGACTTGCCTTTCCATTATTAAAAAAGAAATAAAATGAATAAATATGATAGGTTATCTCTTCATATGAGAGCTAACTAATGCATGTCAACTGTTTGCCCCCAACTGTAAAAATGAAGTAAAACTTTGTTTTAGCATTACAAAAATAACTGACTTGCATTACAGGAGACGATAAAAGAACAAACAGACCTAAGAAACTCACTATCAAGCAGAAAAAAAAAAAAAAAAACATTATCTTTTTAACACATGGGGAAACTGAAAAGTGAGTTTAAAAATGCCTGCCACAAATTGTGAGGTGGCTACGAGCCAGTCCAGACCTTTCAAGAAAGGAATCATCTGATGGACAAGAGCAGTTTGGACTATGGGCTGTTCTGTTGTTTGGCTAGTTGTAGTAAGTGATTAAAATTCCTTGATGCTGTAAATGGGATTCTTGGAACAGTCTAACACCTTTCATTGTGCTTCTGTGTTGGTCCYTTTTTAAGAAGAGACAAAAATCTGTGATGACACAGCTACGTAATCACTGGTTGTAAGATTTAGATTAGAAGGATTTAGACTTTAGAAAGTCCAAAGACACTGAAGTCGTGAGTGGAGGTGATCTGCAGCTCAGAGTTAGACACACGGCATGAAGTGTAGGGCTGTGACTGCCATGTCCTCCTGCTTGCCCTGGCACCTCTGTGCTCGGTGTTCCACCTTCAGCTGATGCGATTCCCCCTTTCCTCTTAGGCCCAGTGCTCCGCATGGGCAGCAGCTTGGGCTCTGGTGCCGTCAGTCACCTCGCTCCAGGGTGCTGCTGTCCAGGGAGGCTGTGGCGGGGAAGCATCGCTGCTCCCCGTGCGGGACAGCAGTGAGCAGCACTGCCCAGCCTTGGGGGTGTCCTGCAGCAGAGACACACATGTGTGAACGTAACGTTAAGTGACAAAACACCTTTCTSTTAATATGGAAGAAATCCTAAAAGAAATTCACAAGTAGGTATTTTTGGAGACTTAGACACTGCCTTAACACTGCAGTCAAACTACTGTTTGAGACACGACCTTAGACTGCTATAAAGCTCCTATATAAATAGGAAAGTCCCCGCAGGAGCCCCCCGGGCCAGCTCTGCTGTCACAGATCCGCGCTCCTCCCCGAGGAGCCGTCTGCGGCTCGCGCGGCTCTTCGCGGGAGCACCGCCCGTTAACGGCCGCGCCTCGTCCCGCGGGCGGGGGCGATGGCGCCGCGGCGCGGGCGGCGGGGCGGGGCGCAGGTGAGCGCCATGGCGGCGGGCGGCCCCCGCCTCCGCCGCCGCTCTCGGGCCGTGCCCCGGGCGCCCATAAAAGCGCGGGCGGCGGCAGCGCGGAGCGTAGCGTTGTCCTGTTCCGTCCTGTCCCGCCCGCCGGCCCCATGCAGCCCGCCATGATGATGTTCGCCAGCAAGTACTGGGCGCGCCGGGGCTTCTCGCTGGACTCGGCGCCGCCCGAGGAGCACCGCGGCCTCGCCGTAAGTAGCGGCGCTCGCGGCGCGCGGGCTCCCCGCGCCCGCCCCTCGGCCGCCGCCCGCGGGGCTCGCGAGCCGCCCGCCGCGCTCCCCGCGGGAAAGTCACCGTCGCCGCGGCAAGTTTTGGAGGTGTTTAGGCACAGTCGGGCCGTTTCCCGGCGTTTTGAGGCGCCGCGCGCACTGGCGCTCTCTGTGGCACCTGCCTCTCTGTAACTGCCGTGTGCCTCGTGATGTGATGCACAAAATACTGCTAAGAAACACACAAAACAGTCTAGGTAACGTGATACCGCTAGTGTACACCACACGGATGGTGCCTGCGGGTGTATTTTCTGCTGGATGGCTGGTGTGGCGTGTTAGATTTGTTGACATCTGCCAGCTGTGCAGGAGAGTTGCGTAGAGATGTCATTTCTCCATGGAAAACAGTGTTGGGAAGCGGGAAACGCTCCCTGCGAGGTGCAGGCTGGGGTGCAGCAGGTGTACGGGTGRCTTGAAGTGCTGGGTAAACCCTTCCTGCTGGGGTTTGTGCTCAAAGTAACGGAGACGCTCCATAAATTCAAATAATCCTAGTTCAAATCAGATAATTTTAACATGTGGAGTTTGCGTCCCTGATACATGTGCAAATTTACACAAGTAGTAGTTGAAAGTAGTAGTGTTGAAGTAGTGTTGAAATTAAAACTAACTAAAGCAGCTTTCCCCAAACACATCCCTAAGCAAACCTCCTCTCGGCACAATCCTGTGAGCCTGATGTCGTGTGAGCTGAAAGCGCTTTGTGCCCTTCACATACCCGTGCACGGGCATAATTGTCTGGATTGCTTCTGCAGAGTCCAAGATGGGACCACGGGCTAAATTTTTAGCACGCTGAGTGCTTAAACTTAGTTTAAGCTTGGCTAGTTTCATCCCTGCTGTTTCAGAGGGTGACTTTTGATAAGCCGGCAAGGTTCAGCTAGTCCTCCCTTTAATTCACTTTCGTGCCGTAACCAATATATCCGAAGAGACAGTGGGAGCTGGCTCGAGACCTGTACGCTCTTTATTTGGAGAAGTGTTTCCGAGTGGACTAAGATGGAGTAAAAGCGTAAGCAGTTTTGGCATATGCCAAACTGGATGTGGATGCACCGGGCTGGTGTGCYGCAACCTCTTCACTGCTGCTGTCGGGTTATTTGCTAAAGAGGTCCTGTTTTAGGTGATCCGGTTTGAAAAGGAATCAGGSTAAAGACTTACCAATTTTTTTTTGCTGGGTGATGGAGCACTTGATGAGATCTTTTGAAACCTCTTCCAGAAGCAGCTTGCTGAAGTGAACTGTCCACAGACATCACGCAAGGGAGATATCGGCCCTGGCACTCAGATCCGTAATGAAAAAGTGGCCCGAGAGATTTAACTTGCCTTTTATCAGATGTTGTAGGACTTGTTTGAAAACTCCATCCATTCTTGGAGTATTTTTTTTCCCTTTCTCTGTCCTTTGCAACTTGCTGAACAACAGTTTAATCCATGTGAAATAGTTGTTTGTGATTCTTAAATTTTATTTTCATGTTTCTAAGTGGACTTACGGTGATAATTTTTTTTTTTTTTAAAGAAACACTGGCTTCATTGGAGATTTTAATTCTCTAACACACTCAACCTCTGGGTATTGGAAAATGCCTTTTTAATTTTTTTTTTTTTTTTTTT